CAGTTTATCAGCAAAATGCGCAGTCGGGAACACAGCGGTGGAGACTTTTACTGCATTACACATGTCTGTGATCATACGTCCCCGTCCCTGAAGCTGGAGGTTCAGCGCAGTGAGATGCTTCGATATGTTGCACAAAATGCCAGCTAACATCGCCACTTTTAGTCCTGGAGCTCTGTGGTGTGGCGGGCCAGTTATGATAAACATATGATATTTTCTGGAGGGCCGTCGTACCGAGGGCCGGATAAATGCTGACAATTTAATGACAAGTCTCTAAATGTGTTGATCCTTACTTGGCTTTTCATCTGGGTTATTTTGCCCAGGGCCCAGTTCAGAGTCTGCATTTTTCCTTTTCAAATATTTCGCCATCGCTGTTCGTCTTGTCACAGCAACCTCTCCCACGAGTCATTTCATTCTACTGTCCTAAATTAACAAGGTCATTATTGCGCTACCTGCTGCCACCCACTGGCATGGAAGAGTATTTATTACTTAGCCAGCCACTATATTGCAGCTCAGATGCTCAACAATGGCAAAGTATTTGCAACAACTAAATAATATTTTTTGGGACTCATTAAGTGAAATTGGACATTTTCCAACGGCACACCTGATGATCTCTCACGTCGCACTGGTGTGCCACGGCACAGCGGTTGAAAGTCACTTATATCATCATCCATCCTCCCTATGGCATTTGCCACTTGATTGACGTACAGGGCAGCCAGTCTGAGATCACGTCTTTTCTAACCACACATGCACTGTCAACCGCACAAGCTACTGCAAAATATAAACAATGTTCTTTATATAAAACCATAATCTCCTTCTCCTTCTTTAAATGTCGTTTTCAAAGCCACACAGGAGCCGGTTTCAGGAGATTTGCCATATTTTCAAGCTGGACATCTGTAAATAAAACAAGTATTTAAACTGTGTACAGCCCCACTCGCTGTCCGTAATGCTACGGACAGTAAGACAAATACGGAAAATACACGTGTATTTTATATGTGAAATGTCCTAAATACTCTATTTTATAATGTTGGGCTACAGGGACAGTCCACAAAGAAAGTGTCTCCAATATTAACTAACACACGCGTCTATGTTTACTTTCGTAACATGCTAACACTACAATTGCTAGCAGCCTCGCCACCATGATGAGCATAACATGATATTAGTGGTATGGTAATGATATTTCAGTTTGCAATATTGGAATAAAGTAGTTCAAGTACTTACAGAGTATGTCGTTGGCGTGAAGCTCGTTCACTTCGCTCATCAACTCAGTAAGAGCTAACTAGCTCAAACCGTGCCGTCTTTCCAGCCGTATCGTCTCTAACTTAGAAAAATGCACAGACTCCGTGCGCATGCGTGTTCCAGCAGTAAACACAGAGTTGTATTTTACGTGAACATACAGACAGAATGTGCTCTGCTCTCATTATGATGTCCTGGGAGCTTCTGGTTGACAGCACAGTCGTTTACGGCGTTTTATATGAAACATTAAATGCGTTGAAATCACGTCTTCGTGTAGACCACATATCAACGGCCAACGTAATATGATTTTGGAGAAATATGTTTAAAGTAACCAAAATCGCGTCTCTTTCAACCTACAACTGAACAAACCATCAATATTTTAAAACAAATTGGTGTTTTGTGACACGTTGATATTGTAACCGTAATTTAGCCGGTTGAAAATACGATGAAAATACGTCTAAGACATTCAGACCCCATTTCAACGCGTTTTCAACCAGAAATCAACGTTGAAATCCGGGATAGTGCTCACTGGGAAGTGTCTGTCAGAGTTTGACAAACGCTTTCAAGACTTTGCTTTACTCGAGCCAGTTGCTACATTTATGTGCTACCCATTTCAGGAAGATATTGAGGTTGATTCACTCACATCAAAAATTGCAACGCTGTTTCACCTGAACTCGTCTGGAGTGGAGGATGAGATTCTGACACTACAGGCTGGACTTCAGCTGAATGTCAATTCAGCTGAAGTCCGGGGCTCATGGACAGTTTTGGAACTTACTCACAGAGGAAAAGTACCCAAACATGAGGAAATGTGCTACCTTCCTGACTTCATTATTCGGCTCTACATATTTATGTGAGTCAGCCTTTTCCCACATGAAGAACATGAAAGAACACACAGTATATATGATTTTTCGGCAGGAGATATACTCAAATATGGACAGTCAACATATTCAAGAACTGACTATATCAAGATATATATATATATATCACAACATAATTTTAAAAGGGGTGTTGTGAGGAATTTAAGTTTTAAAGCGCTCCTAGCGATGGATATTATGTGTTACAATATGTTTACTTGTAGAAGGTTTAAACTAAAGGGAGAGTTACTGAATTTGTTGTGCACTGTGAGAGAACCAGAGAATTTATGACACTGCCATTAAGTCAGAGAGAGGGGGATGTTGCTGAAGAGTTTCTGAGCACAGCCTTCAAGAAGGGGGGGGGGGGTGAATTGGTCAAGGAAGTGGCTGACTGAAGTCCGAAGGGTTCAGCCAATCACTGAGCTGATCGATGGGCTAAGGAATGTGTAATATGAGACATTTCAGAGACTTTGGAGACAAAGAAACTGTGAATCCCCGGAGATAATCAGACCTCATCTGGACCATGAGGCGGACACACCAGTCTGTCGTGTGGTGCGGATGGGGCCTCTATTTCATGAAATATTACTATTGATAGTGTAATTCAGTTTGTAACTGCATTTGCTTTTGTTAGTATATTAAATTCCTTTTGATTTAAACTTCAACTGCCTCTTCTCTTCTGCATGCTTCTTCTCCTCTGAACTAGGAGGGGGGCTTTTTCCTTTACCTTTTGTTTGAGAAATTTTGAACATAACAGTGTCACGATTCTCCAAATCCATGATTCGATTTGACTTTAGATTTTAATATTTTTCTTTCAAGTCGTGATTTGCAAACCTCAACAGATCATTAATTTTGTGCCTTGACAACAGTCATTTAAATTTTCTAATTCTTAAGCTATATGATATTAAGTGTGATATGACTGCCTTATTTTTTAATAATAATGCCTAATATATTTAAACTGTAATAACAACAACTTATTTCACCAGACAAGTGTGAACAAACTGTTAAACAACAAGAAGAAGAGCCACTAGATGGCAGAAGGTTACTTAATTTAACTGCTTGTTTTCAGAATTGATGAGGTGCACCTGAATGCACCATGAAGTTCCACTCGGCACTGGGGATCACACACCTTACCACAAAATGTGATGTAGAAGCGCTATCAATAAGTGGAAATAGAGCGACCAAATTCAAAAGTGTAGATGGTGTGACTGCAGTTGCCAAAAAGTTTCTAAATCTTGTGCAGCCAACAAACTGCAGTTTTTCTGCCAACGATGTATTTGTTATTCACATAACGCGCGGGGAAAGGCAAAATGTTGCCACTCGGGTGACTTCAGGGAAGCAGGAGGATTGTTGCTGTTTCTCCGCCATTATGGTGTTTAAAAAGGGCAGCTGTAGGTTACGGACAGGTAAGCTCCACTGTGTCATCTTCGGAAGAGCCTAAGTAGGCCTGGGTGGAGAAAACAAAACATACCGGGAGAAATTAGAATCACCGATCCTGCTAATTATTTATTTGGTATTAAAATGACACCCCTAATATCATTACATTATCATTACATTTGTTCTGTTCATAGAGAAGATGCTCTTAAGCTCAAATTCATCTTGAACATTGACATTTCTGTTCAGGGGCGGAATGACCATCAGGAAGTTAGGAAAGACTCCCAAATGGCCGATCCATTCAGAGAGGAACACTGCCTGTCAGACTGGGCCAACCTAATACTGTCAATATTGAGGGGGGATATGAGCGTGTTTCAGATCACTCACGCTTGTTTGGCCGGTCTTATTATGATTCAGTGCAGTAGTGACTTGCTAACTCAGGAGGCAGGTGTCATTAAGACATCCTTCAGAATCATCACATTCTCTCCATACCACAAAAAACTGTGCTAGTGTTCAACACAAGGCAGGCAAAATGCGTCCTTGTTTCTGTTAATGGGCTGGGTAATAAATCAGTGGTAAAAGTGAAGCAGTTTGACAAAATTATCTCGGCTCAAGGATCCTTTTACTAGCATTTTCCCTTATATCTAACATTTTACTCTGTCTCACAAAGCAAACTGCACCTGCCGATGAAGATGTCCAGTGTGGTTTAGAGCTCCAGAAAAAGCTAGTATTTAACACAGATTTAAGATTATTTTGTTTTTTACTATATATTATGTTGATCTGAGATAAAATGGCATTGATACATTTGAAATATTTATTTCGGTAATTTCTATAAGAATGTTTTTATTCATAAGATGACTGTCAGTTGTTGATGCGCTTTAAAATGGTCTAGTTTTTTTTGTAATCTGGAAAGCATCTGAAAGAGTTGTTGACACATATGGTGTCAGAATCTGCTTTATTGGCCGAGTATGTGCACATACAAGGAATTTTTTGTACTTCCTAGAAAAATTTCTATGTCCGCTACTGTTGCTATTATAAGTAGTCATAATTTTTCCATCATTATACATCTCAGCTACTTTAAATCAAGATTGAAGACTTTTGTTTGCTGCTGCCTTTAATTGAACCAGATTCAAGGATATTAATCAATTTCCTGCATTTCACTACTGTATTTTATTTCTTACACTACTTTTTAATGTTTCAATGAATGTTCTTAATTTCCTTTTCTTTTAGCTTATGTTTTGATGCTTTTAATGGTTTTATGTGAAGCACTTTGAATTACCTTGTTGAAATGTGCTATACAAAATAAACTTGCCTTGCTTTGAAACAGGCCAGGAGACAAATAATTAGTTATATATTATTTATAATTACAAATGGTTTTGAAATAACTTCAGTATTCAGCGTTTACGTTAAAAGTTACATCTTAAATGAATGATTCAAAAATATTTGAAAAACAATGTTCACTTGTGCAGATTTAAACGTTTCGAGCCAGGTAATGTTAACGGGGATGTAGATTTATTCTGAAAGACTTGGGCCGGAAGTCGCCCCGTCGCTACTGCTCAAAAAACACGGAAGTGGTTTAAACTTCTAAGTTCTAACTGTACAGCGCTGTCCAGTCGACAGTTTAAATATGTCTAAAGTTGAAATGTTGAGAGTAGTGGTGACTGAGCGTCTCACCGCGGCTGCCGAGGAGATATTTGGACTTTTTGAAAGAACCTTAGCGGAGTACGAAGAGGAACTTTGTCGTTCGAAGCGAGATAACGAGTGTCAACGCAAACTACTGGACGCTGTTTTGAAGCCTGAAGTTCGGTTACACAGAGTAGGTTAGTAGCATATAAACGTCATTTAGCTACACGTTATTTCAGTCCTGCCACTCATTTTATGCTCAGAACGGGCCGAATGCCCTGTGGCGTAGCTGCTTTTATCTTAAGAGAAGATAAAAGCAGCAGAAGAAACAAAGTCAGTAGGAGCTGGCTCAAATCGTGGCAACGGTCGGAAGCTAGTCGAGGCACTTCCTGTTGCAAACTTACCTGCTGTCCTTGAAGGTATGACTGTTGGTAGTTGTAATTGGTTTAGTAAAAAAAAAATGCTGAATTGTAATAGTATGGCTACTCGTTTTTATTAAACTAAGCTAATATAGGCTAACATCAGTTGGCACTTGTTGCCATGGCAACGATAAACACTTTCATGCAGCGGACTGAATGAATGCAAATTGTAAATATGGATGAGATGCATTGCACTGTTTAGAATGATGACAACCCATATAATCTATTGACTTGGATATACGTATATAGTATGTGCCAATGTTTGTGGCAGCTGCCACAACTTCTCGCGGCATTTTTTTACTAAACCAATTACAACTACCAACAGCCATACCTTCAAGGCCCTTAATGCATTGTCACATATTGTCAAATAATCTCAACCAATGACTTCACACTCAACACACTGCACTTCCTCGTGACCTTTCCTTGTGGTATGGAAAACACTAGGGACAGACTTTACCGGTGTTAATCCCCAACTAGTTTTCAAATGTATCGTTGTGGTCTTTTAAACAGTGACCGTAAGAAAATACTGTCAAGATGGACTAAATATTTGCTAACACTGAGCCACCGGAAGAAAGAAAACAAGCAATGTTCTAGCCGATACTGAAGACATGGACTTAATAATAGTCATGATGTTTGGCTTTACAGTGACATAGTGGAGGAGGGAGTCTCCTTCCACGGGTTCTACTGGTTTGAATAAGAACACTTTCCTCAAAGAGACCAGGGCTCACATTTATAACTGTTGCGGTCTGAAAGAGGCGCCACTTCCCACGCAAACGTTGTGATCTATAAAAACAAACTTGACGTGTGCTCACCTGTACAGCAAGGCCGAGATCCTCCTCGTGGCACTGGCACCGCAGTGGCTAGTCTGTGGCAAGCGTCAGTCAGGTGTTACAACAGCGGCAAGCGAGCGGCACCCGTCAAGAGGCTGCCGAGCTGAATGGGCGGAGCCACATTTTCTGAGAACACCCATTGTTATATTATACGATACGTCAGCTGCCGTAAATCTGTTTTATTATCATAGCATGGATTTTAGTTGAGTCACCTGAGCCACCCGTTCTCTGTATACATCCTTAGAGTAACCACGTTGTGCTTTTTTGTTTCTCATTCCTTTTATTTAAGTATGATTTTGCTGGTTTTGAAACAAAAGGGAACATAATACACTCTTTCCAAATTATTACTTTTATAGTCACTTTCATAGTCATTTACAACAATCGGCTAAAATAATGAAAATAAATCATCCGTTTTATTATCATTTATAAGTGTATATAAAAAGGTTTTAAAAATAAAACTCATAAAAAGTCCAATCCAAAAATACATGTCTGAAAATATCTTCACTCTTCCTCTGCTTATATGTAGTAGGTGCCCCCCTGGTCCGTGTACGTTTTGATAGTCTGTTTTATGGTTTATTCGTTTTTTCTTTTGAAGAGCGACGCAAAGCAAGACAGGTAGTCCGGAAGTAAGAAAATGTCAGTATCATTTTAGTCTATGATGCAACCAGTGGTGGGCCGTCAGGGCCAGCAAGGCCTTCTCTGCTGGCCTAAACAGAATCACAAAGTTATAGCTATTTTATAATTTAATAATTTTTCTTAAATACACTACATGTATCATAATTTATAAAAATCTGATTTCACCTCTGTGTCTCTAGGTAAGAAGAGAGGCCCCAGGCCTTCAGACTCACAAGTGAATCCCTTTGCAGTTTAAGTGAATGGGGACAATATTGTTGATTGTCATGGTGTTCAACCAATCAGATCTTTAGTTTGACATGTTGGGCATATTCTTTGACGTGCCAGAGCCTTCTAGCTGGCCTACAACTACGTCAGCATTAACGTGCAGCTGGCTCAGCATTAACGTGCGCTGTGATTGGTCAGTGGGCTAGCGTGACTGTTTTGAAGCTGAAGCAGCTTGCAGAAGTTAGTATTAGTAGTAACAGTTCAAGTTGAAAGATATGTAAGAAGTTATGACATTGACATGACATTTTTAGCGTTTTGCTTGGTGTAGATTCTTTTTTTTTTTTTTACCTAGCTTTGTTTTTTAAAGGATTTGTACTAACGGTATTTCAGCATCGGAGAAGCGTTGTACATTTTATGGCTGGGAATGCGTTTTATTTGCAACTGAGCATCTTGGTGTTTGGAGCTATGCTACGCTAACCAAGGCAGCACAAAGACACCATAGCACGACAGGACACTCACAAACTACGGTCAGGGTTCGCACGGTCATGGAAAACCTGGAAAAGTCATGGAATTTTAAAATGGTTATTTCCAGGCCTGGAAAAGTCATGGAAAAAAATAAAATCCCAAAAGTTTTGGAAAAGTCATGGAAATTTGTTATATTCATATTTTCATGTCGTTCATTTACGCTGAGTTGCCAGCCAGCGTTTCTCAGATTGGAGTGAGACGAGGAGAAAATGTGATGTGATCTTCGCAATAGAACATCTTTGATGTGTCGAGTCTTGGCCAATCAGCGTTCAGATGTCTACAGTGTCTTCATTTCCCTCCGTTAAAGTTTGAGTTACGTTATGTACCGTTACCGTTCAGACTTGCTGGGTTAAGTTAACGTCCACAGCATGCGGAACTTTGTCGACTGTTAACGTTCGTCATTATCGCGATTTAGAAGGAAAAAACGTAGCGTGATGAAACATGCAGCCCCCCGTGTTCCGGTTCAGTTCACGCGGTCACTCATTAACGTTAAACCGGAACACCGGCACATCTGGTTGCAGGTTGTTTTGTTTAACTCAAAGTAGAATGAGGATGATTTCTTGGTAAAAATAACTTTCATGACCACGAAACATGAGGCCCAGATACTGATGAGATGATGAGGTCAAAGAGCTTCAGAAAGAGGAGGCTGTTTGTGTAGAGCAGCTTGACGCAGGGCTGAGCTGTGAGTGGAGCTGGGGCTGGATAAAGGTGGAGGTCTAAACAGACGTGAGTACAGCTTTTTGCTGTCACAGTGTTTTAAATACATTGATAAGACAGGGTATGCTAAATGCAGCCTCTGCTCCAAGGAGATCAACTACAGCAACAAGGGCTCACATGTCCTCTCATCACACTGCCAGACACTGTTCACTGTAATGACCACAGCCAGTGTACCAACAGTCCCAACAGTCCCATGTTGGTCTCAAGAACCCTGAAGTAATGAGAGGGTTAAGGTGCCTGTACCTTCATTTCAGCGGGTTGCTAATGCAGAGGTGTGTATAGATCACAGCTATTATTTTACTCCTGATAAGTTACCTTAGCCAGAGTAGATTATCATTTTCATTCAAATAATTGAACTGAATTGATTGCATATTAATTACAAATAGAAGATAGGCCACAATTCTAACGGCTGTACAGTAACAGTGGAAGTTAATATTAAGCCATACAGTAACAGGGTTCAATGAAACATTTGCACTACAAAAGGGAAAGCAATATGTGCACTAGCTGGATGCTGCTACCTACTAAAGCTCTTATTGATGTGTCAGTGTCAACCAGAGTATATTTATAAATGTTTATTCTTTTAATCAAACTATTGTCTCTCATTCGTTTGTGTCATTTAAGGTATACTATATGCTTTGGAATTCTCATTGTTAGTTTAAATACTACATTTTCTCACTTTTTCATGTATACACTGAGATTTCACAAAATGTTTGGTCATGGAAATTTGGTTAAAAGTCATGGAAATCAATTGGTCAAAATGTGTATAAACCCTGTACGGTGCTTTTGAAAACTTTTGGAGTGATCCGAGTGGATCAACGAACACGTTCGCAGGAGGACCTCTGACTGGAACGGAACTGAACCGATGTTCTGTACAACCGCGGTATTAAACTCTTCATTAACAAAGAAAGGAGGATATACTTTGTCTTTAAGTGAACAGCATCTGTGGTAAGTGAAGTGGTTTTGTGTTTTTACATCTGCAGTAGCGGATGTACTGTGTTAATTTGTCTATCGGGTCGATTTTATTGTACGATTGATGTTGTTCCCTCTGATGTGAATAATATTTGAATGGCTCGTGTTCGTTTGTGTGTGGTGGAATACTGTTTTAGCGCTGCAGTGTTGCTGGATTGATGTGTCATGCTTTGTTGTCATATAAATATATGTGACTGGTTCTTGTGCGTTTGTTCTTGTCATTGTTAATTACATTGATTCTGACTTGTCCGTTAATGACGGTCAAGTCATTAACGGATTTCAGACATTTGATTCTCTATCTGGTCGGAGTGTCATACAACCCAGTGAGCACTAACCCGGATTTCAATGTTGATTTCTGGTTGGAAAAAGCGTTGATATGGGGTCTGAACGTCTTAGACGTATTTTAACCGGCTTTTGAACCGGCTAAATTACGGTTACAATATCAACGTGTCACAAAACACCAATTTGTTTTAAAATATTGATGGTTTGTTAAGTTGTAGGTTGAAAGAGACGCGATTTTGGTTACTGGAAAGACGGCACGGTTTGAGCTAGTTAGCTCTTACTGAGTTGATGAGCGAAGTGAACGAGCTGACGGAATAAACGAGGCTTCACGCTAACGACATACTCTATAAGTACTTGAACTACTTTATTCCAATATTGCAAACCGAAATATCATTACCATACCACTAATATCATGTTATGCTCACCATGCGGGCGAGGCTGCTAGCTTGTAGTGTTAGCATGTAGCGTTAGCATTTTACGAACAGTAGCTAAACATAGACATGTGTGTTAGTTAATGTTGGAGACACTTTCTTTGTGGACTGTCCCTGTAGCACAACGTTATAAAATAGAGTATTTAGAACATTTCACATGTAAAATACACGGCGGACAGCGAGTGGGGCTGTACACAGTTTAAATGAGGACGTGACTAACGTACTGTACTAATACGATCATGGTCAAAACATTGTTTGGGTTATGGCAATATACAAACAATATAAACAATATACTGTGTAATATCCAGGTCAGCGTCGTTCCGTTGAAGACACGTTTAAAATACGTCTATGGTCTCCAGTGAAGAGACCTTCATAACTGGTCTAAAAGTCAATATGTTTTCCTAATACTTGTTTTATTTACAGATGTCCAGCTTGAAAATATGGCACATCTCCTGAAACCGGCTCCTGTGTGGCTTTGAAAACGACATTTAAAGAAGGAATGGTTTTATATAAAGAACATTGTTTATATTCATATTGTGCTTTAATAAATACAAATGAACTGTTGCCTGTGTCACTTGGTCTTTTGTCCTGTAAGTGGAAACTGTTGATGTGTTACTAACATTAAGTATTTAGTTGCTACATATTGATCTGACAGCATTTTGACGGTTAAAACACAGTGACGTTGAAATCACGTTGAAAAGTGAAAGTTTTTTACCCGACTATTTGAAGACGTTGATTCAAAGTTCAGGTTTAGACCAGATATCAACGTGATGTTCAATACTGGCTTTCAACTGATAAATGTGGATGTGGTTTCTTAGTAAGCCTCTACATCATGATATATTATTATTAGCACAATGTAGAGGACGAAAAATTATAATATTGCAAATCACGTTTAAATCTGGTCTAAGCGTGAACGTTGAATCAACGTCTACAAATAGTCGGCGAAAAAACTTTCACTTTTGAACCAATTCTGAACGTCTTTTCAAGGTTGGGCGTAGACGTCTTTTAAACGTCTATTCAACAGAAAAATGCTCACTGGGAACTGTGTTACGTCATGTGGATTGCCAGTTTGAGCAAACTCCACCGAAAACATTATACTGTATTTCCCACAATTTTAAGCTTCTGCATTTTCCAAATGCACTAGTATTATTCAAACGTATTGTTCGGTTCGTAAGCCTCGTACCGAACGGTTTAATACGAATATGTTTATTATTACACCCCTAGAAACAAATAATAACCGTAGCTGGGGCGTAATAATAAGATTATTAGGAGATGGAACTGTAGTCGGACAGGACTGAAGGCCCAGGTATAATATGTACGGCCCAGCACAGGATGCAACCACATACCAGGGTAACATTAGAAGAAAAATAAATAAACGTAGGCCGATGGGAGTATGTTAGCAACAATATTTGACTACATGTGATTTAATATTCATTTATCCATGTACACAGCAAGAATCAAGTTTTCGATTAATCTGTGGATTGTTTGATTCAATATAGTTCGTAATATAGTTTAATCAGTCATTTTTGTGTGTACAGAAAATCCTATCGTAACAACAATGGGTGTCTCAGGAAATGTGGCTTCGCCCGTTCAGCTTGGCAGCTTCGTGACGGGTGCCGAACGAGTGCCGCTCGCTTGCCGCTGTTGTGACACCTGACTGACGCTTGGCATAAACTTGCCACACGCTTGCCACTGTCAGTAGTCTCACTAGCTGTCTCTCCACCTGTATGGAAACTCTGACCTATGTGAAGCCAGACCGTAGAAATTAAATAAAATTTAATTTAATTTCACTTCATATGACACGTTACTTTGCACTTGTATATTCTCTTTGTCATTAACAGTCAAGCCACCAGTGTTATTTGTGCTTGAAATTTGATTTGAGGTTTGAGTTGGTTTATATCTTTAGCAACTAATTCTATGCATCAACATTCCTAAGGTGCTTTGCATTGACCGTTTATGGTTGAATGTGGAAGTGTAGAGGGCAGAATGCACATTGTATTCTCACTGTCACTGAACACTCTTTTACTAAAATGCACTTGCCACAACTTCATTTGAAATTAAAATACATACTGTATTTAGGGTTAGGGTTAGGGTTTTAAACATAGATTTCTCACACCACTCTTAACTTACACGTAGATGCCATAGATGTCATATGAAATAAAGTGCATTAAATAAAGTTATCCGGCACAATACCTGGGTCCTTTCCATTTATGCCCCATTCCTCCAGGTTCAGTGGTGATGTTACTGCCTGTACAGCTCTCGTGATGTGGTGTGACATAATCATAATATTCAACTCGGTGTTCTAATCGTCTAACATCGTCTACAAAAATGTATCGATAGTAGTCAAGGACATATCGATGCACTATTGATAAAAAATATATCTTGAAAGTAAGCTATATCGATATTTTTGCACAGCCTTAATGCAGTGAAGAACTTTACTGGCCTCCCGGATCACACACTTTGTGAAGCAGCTTCCTCCTTTATGTCAGCCACAATAACAAGAGCCATATTTTGGAATTCCACAATTATTGTGTACAAATCAATACATTTAAGAATACATCAAGAATCTGAATCTCAGGCCTAATAATAATATCTGATTCTCTTTCACTTGGTTTTGTATTTTGTTGTCAATAAGAAAGCAAGATAAAACAATGTCATTTCTCACATTATTTTACTAGCCTTTTCTCTCTGTCTCTCTTAAGGTTAGATAATGACTGGTCATGGTAAATTATGAATATACTGTAAATGCAAATTTCCAGTCTGAGATGACGTCTCCATACTGGATGTCAGGCTGGTGGTACTGTGATGCCCAGTAGTGTCCCCTCTTCTCACACACACACTTCGCTTCTGTAATGCTGTGTTTAAACTCCACAGTGGAAACTGTGTTGAACGTATAATCAAATTTTTCCTAACTTGTCTGCATTCATTTGTTTTGTTATTTCAGTGTTATCTGCAGATGTTCAGCAGGACCCAGAGCCCCCACATATTAAAGAGCAACAGGAGCAATGCTGGAGCAGTCAGGAGGAAGAGCAGCTTCAAGGACCATTTCCTGTAAAGAGTGAAGATGACGAAGCTCAGTCCTCACAGCTTCATCAAATGCAAGAAGAGAACAGTGAGGCAGAGCCTCCAGCTAGCAGCTCAGCTCAACAGGGGGATATGGAGAGTGATAGAGAGGACCATGGAGGATCAGAACCAACCAGGAGCTTAGATCCAGATAGTTATTCACAACCAGCTAATGATGAGACTCTAGAGTCTTCTGAACAAGTGGACACTGTGAAATCAAAGCGGACCCAGACGGGTGTTTCTGTCAGTCAACCAGCTAGGGACGACAGGACTTCAGACTCTTGTGAGCCTGAGACTGAAGACAGTGATGGGCACTGGGAGGAGACAAAGAAACTTCAGTCAAATTTAAAAACACTGACAAACAATGGCGTTGCTGAAGGTGAAGACCATAACACCAGCAAGAAGTCTCTGAGCTGCTCCAAGTGTGGTAAAACATTTAAACCCAACGGAAAAAGTGCCCCGGGAATGGAACCATCAGCTTGCTCAGTTTGTGTTCAAAGATCCACACAAAGTTCACGATTAATCACAAATAAGAGAACTCATTCAGGGGAAAACATCTTCAGATGTTCAGTTTGTAAGAGACAATTTAGCTACAAAGGAGATGCTGTGAGACACATACGAATTCACACCGGAGAGAAACCCTTTAGCTGCTCAGTGTGCAGTAAACGATTCACGCAGAGCACAGGCTTGAGCTCCCACATGAGAACCCACACAGGAGAGAAACCATTCAGCTGCTCGCTCTGTCCTAAACGGTTCATCCGGAGTGGAGTTCTGGACCGACACATGAGAGTTCACACAGGAGAAAAGCCTTACAGCTGCTCAGAGTGCAATGCAAGTTTTAGTCTAAGTCAGTCACTGTTAAAACACATGAGGATCCATACAGGAGAGAAACCATTCAGCTGCTCAGTTTGCGATAAAAATTTCACTCAGAAAGGACATCTGACACAACACATGATGCTCCACACAGGGGAGAAGTCATTCAGTTGCCGTGTCTGTGGTAGAAAATTCACCAGACAGTCTCGTGTGAAAAATCATAAGTGTCTTTCTGAGAGCAGCAGCAGTAAATGAAACTCTGATGAATTTCACACTTTGAATGTCTTACTATCCGCCCAATATGGATTAAGTGGTTAAGGTAGGAACAGCATGAATGTATTTGAAATATGTACGCAATTGGGCTAATTCTTTTGTAAAAGATCTAATTTGAATTAGAACTAGAACTAATGCATCATTTTTTAATTACGATTCTGCAAACCAATGATCGACTAATTATTAGCTGCAATATTCAGCATATTTAAGATAATAGGAATCTTTATTATTTCATCCAATTGCAGATATAATAGATACATTTAAGAAATGTGCCACTTAGCCTCTGATGCAGCTGCTCCAGTATGTGAGCGGTAGCCGAAATTCATGTTGTTGGACGATATATTGTCCCAGAAATAGTTGCAATAAACATTATTGTAATTTTTACTGATAAATTCCTAATATATTAGTTTAACAATGCAAGTACACCATTTTAAAAGAGCAATGAAAGTTTTATTACGAAAGCACTTCAGTTAATGCAAATTGAATGTGACTACAGATGAAAAATAGCCTTTTGGCTAACTGGCACATTTGCACAAATGTTTTTATTAATGTGCACTGTCCCGTTCAAATAAACCAATAAATAAAATTAAAAAAAATATATATATCTTAGATAAATAGGACATTAATAGAATAAAACAACGCAACCAAAACAATAAATATAATGATCTCAGGCTCTGTTAATAAAAATGTGCAATGTCTGCACAATGCCCAAGTCCTCTTGGTAGGGACAACTCTGAAATTTGTTCTGGCATCATGTCGGCAAGTGTTCGTGACATTCTTATGTTAACAAACACGCATGTAAACAACAACACAGAGGTAGGCGAAACCGCTAGATGTCATGTCCATATATTGTACGATAAGTCAATAATGTAAATATTATTGAGATCTATCCAAATATTGTTCAATAAAACAATAATGTAAAAATGATTAGGGTCATGTCCGATAAGTCAGTATCTTAAAAAGGATGAGGTCATGTCCATATATCATACGGACTCCTTCAACTCCTTCACTTCACACATACATTTGTTTATTTTGTTTTCTTTTTGTGTCTGAGCTTGTCTACTATGTGAAAACGATTAAGGTCATGTCCATATATGGAATGATAAGTTGATCACTTAAAAATTAGTGAGATCATACCATATATCATGCAAGCAGATATAGTTGAACGTACAACCGCAGATATGAATCATAACCAGATTATCATTGTGAATAAGATTGCAGCGCAGTGATTATAAAGACAATATTCATACACTATACGTATATTACGCGGACCTACCGATGCACATTCGACCTACGTTGGACCCGTTTATGAGTCAACCATCAATTTTTGTCTCACTCAGTAGAAACTTCAGTCTGCAGTGTAGTTCATATGCCTTTACTGTACACCTTAGAAGTGTACAGTAAAATTATCAAAGAAAGCTTTCTCTCTCCCTGGATGCACAAAGAAGGTCTAAAAATGCAGTGTGGGAGTGTTTCACTTAACCAACACCACGGAATGCAAAGAAGGTATCGGCATGGGAAGAGCAGTGACTTTTTAAATTAAGTTAATGTTGAAAAGTTATCTTTTACAGCATTTAATTAAACATATGCTTTAAAGGCATTTAAACAAAGTTTTGTGATGGAGTTTGTGTTATTCCTGAGTTTTATACAAAGGTTTTCTTTTTACTGCAAACATATTCTTTTCAAATATTGGTATTGGCCTCTTTGATCAGTAATAATAGATATCTGCCCTGGAAGAAATATAATGGTGGACCCACCTGCACAGAGTAAGAAGTTAACCTATGTAGAAGATTTATAATACGAAATACATTTCTCTTCATCAGACAGACAGACAGACAGACAGTAGATGATGGAGAGGTTAGCAGTGCACAGGACCACACTGCATGAACTGTATCGGAAAAGTGTGCTGGTGCGTGTGAGAAAGGAAACCCTTTCGATATAAGTTTCAGGCTGGGAACAGGCCAAAAGTGGATTTTGTGAAAGTAAACATAGTTTCAAAGAATCTGTGTGTAAGCATCAGATTCTAATGAAAACATCATGAAACTGTGAGATCAACTGTCCTGAGCCACTTTCATGAAGAAAATCTGTGAAACTATGTTTACTTTCACAAAATCCACTTTTGGCCTCTTCCAGGCCTTGTAGGAAATTTAGGTTTAGAAGTGTGTTTTAGGATTTGTAATTAGAAGTGTTTTTAGTAGGATTTATAGCACCCTTAGAGGTGATTAGTAAAATGTTAGCAAGTACTAGGGTTATACCAAATATGCTTGTAAAGCTTGTCAAGGTCTTTGCCAAAGTTGCAAATTCTTATCGAATGTATAGTATGTTTACACCATAGAAGTGTTAAGCCACTCAATATGTTTATATTGAATGTATAAAACTGTGAAGAATAGTCGTGAAGAATAATAGGGACAGACAGGGATTTTAGACAGGCATTCCAGGATCATCACACCCGTGCCAAGGGTCCTCCAGCTGGCTGATGCGAGAAGGAGGAGCGAGCTGGATTTAACCAACTGTAGCAAAGACGGACATTTTGAGAACTTTTACGAACTATATAAGGAAATTCAGACAGAGAATTCGGCCTGTTCATCTCATTTCATCCAGGCAGGTAACCAGCTTCATGGCTGTGGTGTGTATGGCCGCTTTTCCGCGTGGATCATATTTCTAGATCGATACTGTAGATATTTCTATAGATTCTGTAAATAGTGTACTTCACTTTGCAATTGTTTTAGCTTCTGTAGTATTAAATACTTTTGATTATAATTTGAGCCGACTGACCTTTTGGCACGGTTCCACAACATGCGGTTCTCCCACAGTTTCGAGAGGTTCTCGAACCTAACAGCCTGAAACGTCTTTTAAGAGCATAAAAGGCTGAGAATGTGCGTGCCTGAAACCAGTAAAGGTGTGTAAGCATCAGATTCTAATGAAAACATCATAAAACAGTGAAATCAACTGTCCTGAGCCACTTTTTTGAAGAAAACCTTTGAAACTGTTTACTTTCACAAAATCCACTTTTTTGAAGGAAATCTATGAAACTATGTTTACTTTCACAAAATCCACTTTTTTGAAGAAAATCTTTGAAACTATGTTTACTTTCACAAAATCAATTTTTGGTCTCCTCTCTGCCTGAAACGTCTTTTAAGAGCATAAAAAGTGAAAATGCATCTCTCGGCAGTAAAGTGCTGAAAGCTGCAGATATTCATGAAAATGACATCAAACTGTGAAATCAACTGTCCTGAGGCACTTCTTTGAAGAAAATATTTGAAACTATGTTTACTTTCACAAAATCCACTATTTTGAAGCAAACATTAGAAATTATGTTTTTCACAAAATCCACTTTTTGAAGGAAATCTTTGAAACTATGTTACTTTCACAAAATCAACTTTTGGCCTCCTCTCTGACTGAAACGTCTTTTAAGAGCATGAAAAGTGATAATCTTTGAAACTATCTTTACTTTCACAAAATCCACTTTTTTGAAGAAAACATTTGAAATTATGTTTTTCACAAAATCCACTTTTTGAAGGAAATCTTTGAAACTGTTTATTTTCACAAAATCCACTTTTTTGAAGAAAATCTTTGAAACTTTACTTTCACAAAATCCACTTTTTTGAAGAAAATCTTTGAAACGATGTTTACTTTCACAAAATCAACTTTTGGCCTCCTCTCCCTCCTCTCTGCCTGAAACGTCTTTTAAGAGCATAGAAAGTGAAAATGCATCTCTAGCCAGTAAAGTGCTGAAAGCTGCAGATATTCATGAAAATGATATCAGACTGTGAAATCAACTGTCCTGAGGCACTTTGTTGAAGAAAATCTTTGAAACTATCTTTACTTTCACAAAATCAACTTTTGGCCTCCTCTCTGCCTGAAACGTCTTTTAAGAGCATAAAAAATGAAAATTCATTTTTAGGCAGTAAAGTGCTGAAAGCTGCAGATATTCATGAAAATGACATCAAACTGTGAAATTAACTGTCCTGAGGCATTTCTTTGAAGAAAATCTTTGAAACTATGTTTACTTTCACAAAATAAACTTTTGGCCTCCTCTCTCTGCCTGAAACGTCTTTTAAGAGCATAAAAAATGAAAATGCATCTCTCGGCAGTAAAGTGCTGAAAGCTGCAGATATTCATAAAAATTATATCAAACTGTGAAATCAACTGTCCTGAGGCACTTCTTTGAAGAAAATCTTTGAAATTATGTTTTTCACAAAATCCACTTTTTGAAGGAAATCTTTGACACTGTTTACTTTCACAAAATCAACTTTTGGCCTCCTCTCTCTGCCTGAAACGTCTTTTAAGACCATAGAAAGTGAAAATGCATCTCTAGCCAGTAAAGTGCTGAAAGCAGCAGATATTCATGAAAATGACATCAAACTGTGAAAGTAACTGTCCTGAGGCACTTCTTTGAAGAAAATCTGTGAAACTATGTTTACTGTCACAAAATCAACTTTTGGCCTCCTCTCTACCTGAAACGTCTTTTAAGAGCATAAAAAATGAAAATGCATCTCTCGGCAGTAAAGTGCTGAAAGCTGCAGATATTCATGAAAATGACATCAAACTGTGAAATCAACTGTCCTGAGGCACTTCTTTGAAGAAAATCTTTGAAACTATGTTTACTGTCACAAAATCAACTTTTGGCCTCCTCTCTGCCTGAAACGTCTTTTAAAGAGCATAAAAAGTGAAAA